TAATAAAAAAAAGAAAGTCCAGATTACGAAGCATCTGTCTGGCTTACGTTCCAAGGAGCATAGTTCGAGGGACTTGATGCGCTCCCACTAATTTAGCTGCTTGACTGAATTTATACTGGCTGTGTGTTCGATGACGGTGTATTGTGGGGTAACTGACTCTGTTTTTCTGGAGGGCCAGTCTCGTGACTCTGAAGGTGAGGAGTGGCAGTCTGGTATGTTATTGTGCTGGGCAGTAGGCTGGGGAACGTAGCATTATTATTATTATTACAATCAAGGGGGAAGCGCTAAACCCGGAGGATTATACAGCGCCTGGGGGGGTATGTGGAAGGCATTCAGGCTTAATTTGGGGAACTGGAGCATAGATCCAATTCCCTAAATCAAGAGCCCCTCACCAACATCAAGGAACCTTCCTTGAGGGGGGGGAACGTAGCAGCTCTGGGGTGATTTGTGAAGCCTGGAGGTGATGTGTGAAGCCTGGGGTCAAGAATTTCCGGGTCCCACGCTTTAAATGTGCTGACTAAAAATAAAACCTTGTGTATTTATTAATATATAGCAACCAGGCATTGTAAAGGTTTCAGAACCCCATGGAGAAGCTTGTGGGTGATTGTGAACAGGGAGGAGGGTTGACTGTGGGCAGGATGGAGGGTTTATTGTGGGCAGGATGGAGGGTTAATTGTGGGGAGCGAAGGGAAAAGCAGTGAGAGGAGGCACGTCTTTCCCTACACTCCCCTGTCCCCCCCCCCACAGGCTGTTCCAGCAATGGGACACAGAAACAAGTGGCCACAATTGGAAGTTGAAGACTCAGACGAGTCAGAAATGTTAAGAAGTATTTCTTTAGTCATAGAGTTGTCAGGAAGTGGAATATTCTGGCAAGCGATGTAGTGAAGGCAGGAACCATACATAGTTTTAAGACGAGGTATGATAAAGTTCATGGAGCAGGGAGAGAGAGGACCTAGTAGCGTTCAGTGAAGAGACGGGGACCAGGAGCTGTCTCGACCTTTGCAACTACAAATAGGTGAGTACACACACACTCCTGCCCACCCACACACACTCCTGTCCTCCCACACAATCCCCTCCTAACCTGGAGGGGATGGGAGGGCGGCAGGAGGGAAGGTTGCATTGTGGAAGTATGGATTAAGTAGCTGGGGTAACCCAGCCTGCTGCAGGTGCGGTGTGTAACCCAGCCTGTTGTAGGTGTGGCTGTGTAACCCAGCTTACTGCAGGTGTTTCGTAACCCAGGCTGCTGCAGGTGTGGCTGGGTAACCCAGCCTGCTGCAGGTGTGGCTGGGTAACCCAGCCTGCTGCAGGTGTGGCTGGGTAACCCAGCCTGCTGCAGGTGTGGCTGGTAACCCAGTCTGCTGCAGGTGTGGCTGTGTAACCCAGTCTTCTGCAGGTGTAGCTGTGTAGCCCAGCCTCTGCTGCAGGTGTGGCAGAGTAACCCAACCTGCTGCAGGTGTGGCTGGTCAACCCAGTCTGCTGCAGATGTGGCTGGGTAACCCAGCCTACTGCAGGTGTGGCTGGAGCAACACAGCCTCTGTTGCATGTGTGGCTGGAGTAACCCAGCTTGCTGCAGGTGTGGCTGGGTAATTAAGCCTGTTGCAGGTGTGACTGGGTAATCCAGCCTGCTGCAGGTGTGGCTAGGTAACCCAGCCTGCTGCAGGTGTGGCTAGGTAACCCAGCCTGCTGCAGGTGTAACTGGGTTACCGAGCTGCAGTGTGGCAGTGGCTGTATATATGCCACGTGTAGTGTAACACTGGCAGTATATATGCCACGTGTAGTGTAACACTGGCAATATATATGCCACGTGTAATGTAACACTGGCAGAATATATGCCACGTGTAGTGTAACACTGGCAGAATATATGCCACGTGTAGTGTAACACTGGCAGAATATATGCCACGTGTAGTGTAACACTGGCAGAATATATGCCACGTGTAGTGTAACACTGGCAGAATATATGCCACGTGTAGTGTAACACTGGCAGAATATATGCCACGTGTGGTGTAACATTGGCAGTATATATGCCACGTGTAGTGTAACACTGGCAGCATATATGCCACGTGTAGTGTAACACTGGCAATATATATGCCACGTGTAATGTAACACTGACAGCATATATGCCACGTGTAGTGTAACACTGGCAGCATATATGCCACGTGTAGTGTAACACTGGCAATATATATGCCACGTGTAACGTAACACTGGCAGCATATATGCCACGTGTAACGTAACACTGGCAGCATATATGCCACGTGTAATGTAACACTGGCAATATATATGCCACGTGTAATGTAACACTGGCAGCATATATGCCACGTGTAATGTAACACTGGCAGTATATATGCCACGTGTAATGTAACACTGGCAGCATATATGCCACGTGTAATGTAACACTGGCAGCATATATGCCACGTGTAATGTAACACTGGCAGCATATATGCCACGTGTAAGTAATGTAACACTGACAGCATATATGCCACGTGTAGTGTAACACTGGCAGCATATATGCCACGTGTAGTGTAACACTGGCAATATATATGCCACGTGTAACGTAACACTGGCAGCATATATGCCACGTGTAATGTAACACTGGCAGCATATATGCCACGTGTAATGTAATGTAACACTGACAGCATATATGCCACGTGTAGTGTAACACTGGCAGCATATATGCCACGTGTAGTGTAACACTGGCAATATATATGCCACGTGTAACGTAACACTGGCAGCATATATGCCACGTGTAATGTAACACTGGCAGCATATATGCCACGTGTAATGTAACACTGGCAGCATATATGCCACGTGTAATGTAACACTGGCAGCATATATGCCACGTGTAATGTAACACTGGCAGTATATATGCCACGTGTAATGTAACACTGGCAGCATATATGCCACGTGTAATGTAACACTGGCAGCATATATGCCACGTGTAATGTAACACTGGCAGCATATATGCCACGTGTAATGTAACACTGGCAGTATATATGCCACGTGTGATGTGACACTGATAGTGTATATAGCACGTGTAGTGTGACTGGCAGTGTATATACCGTGTTCATGACTATCCTCATTAACACTATTGAAGTTATAAAATATTCGTATTGAACCCGGTAATACGAACTCATTATAACCTAAATCGTTATTTACTTTTATTGTTGTTTTGTATTATGTTAGAGAAGCGCTAAAGCAGTAAGGATTATACAGCGTCTGGAGAATGGGAAGTAGTCATGTTTGATCTGAGGATGGGAAGATGAGCTCCATTTCTTCAAATCAAGAGCCTTACATCAGCATTGAGGCTCTTGTTTCTCCTTTATAAAGAGTATTAATGGTAGTAGTAGTGGTTATTGTAGTCGTAGTGTTAGGCGTAGCATCTTCAAGTCTATACATTCTTTGCTTACTGTAGTGTATGTGTTTTATCCCAGTGTACGTATCTTATCTCCGTGTACGTTTCTTAAAACGATTAATTGTTTCAGGTTTTGCTGCCGGAGGGTGGGTAGAGAGCCTTCTGCTTGACTTCACTGGAACAGAGAATAGCAGCTTGAAAAATCGTAGTTTAGGTTTTCTCAGAAACTAACATCAGTGTAAATAATAAGCTCTCTCTCTCTCTCTCTCTCTCTCTCTCCTCTCTCTCTCTCTCTCTCAAGTAGCTAGTTACCACCAGTTTTGGTCCTGTGGTGACACCATATGTTTCACTATCTATGGTGCTGTGTGGTGCTGCTTCTTATAATGACTGTTGTAGTTCTTTTCCCCACTCTGGCCAGGCACTTAGCACCCTCCAACCATGGTATTCGCTTTTTTTTGTTAATGTTTATGATGTTAAAACTTACTTTCTGACTCTGGAGAGGCATTGAACATAGTCCTTTGATGTTTTGTTAGTGCTTGCTTGCAGACAGAGCCACAAGACACTGCGTATTTTCGTCTCCTTCTGAGATCTTATGAAGATGGTCTCAGATGAAGCTGGAAATATGCTCACATTTTTTATATCGTGTTTCTGTCTGCATTAGAGTTTTTTCCTCAGTCCATTGACAGATGTCCACTAGTCTTCAATTTTTCGTAGAGGTTAATTGGCCTACTCTGGGCCACGAATTGCGCACCATTGACGTTATTTTCTTTTGTTATTGTACATGGGGGGGGGGTTGTGGTATGTTGTCAGACACCGGCAGGGCATTGAGTGCCTCCTGGGCATGATATTTTGTTTTATTAATGTTACCTGGCGAAGAAACTAGCGTTCTGCGTTTTTTTTTTTCAACTGTTTCGCCAACCTAGATAAGAAAGGTTGGCGAAAAAACGTATTTCAGTGTATTGCCAGTTTTGCCAGATTTAATAGTTTAAAGGTTCAACGGGTCACTTACGTAAGCTGGTCACTTGTATAAGCTGGTCACTTCAATCAGCTGGTCGCTTCAATCAGCTGGTCTCAGCAGGGTAGCTGGGGGTAAACAAGTGAGTTGCTATACACCACTTTCTTCACTCGTCCACAACCACCTGGGTGTGAGGAGTGTGCCAGTTCGCCGCTATAGTTAATGGACACGCAGAGAGAAGGAAGGCGGAGAGAAAGAAAGAAGAGAAAAAGCACTAGGAAGTAAAGCACAAAATGTCCCCCCCCCCTTGAGTGTTTTTGATGCGTAAGATAGACTATTTCTTCTAGGTTAAAAAACATTCATACAAAAATTCTCATTCCCAAGGCTTTCAAAATGAAAATACAGTCGCCAGATAACGAATCATTGTATTTTGAGCAATTTATTGTTTTTATTTTAATACGCGACTATTTTTTCATGTACGTGTGTACCCAACCTGAACACTAAATCACTGTCTGTGGGAACACGGCACCTGTTTGTCAATACATCTAAATTATTTTTTTAAATTGTGTGTGTGTGTGTGTGTGTGTGTGTGTGTGTGACACCACTGTAGTATATAATATATATATATATATATATTTTTCATAACTTCAATAAATTTCACTGGGTTATATTTAAATCTATGTTTGGTGTTTACAGGATGGTCCAGTGTTGGCGGAGTCTGATTGTAGTGAAGATGAACTAAAGAACAGTGAGTACCAGAGTTTCTCTTGTTATAACCCACACAACAACATTCTCACTCTTCCAGTCTTCACCCATTGCGAAAATGTCATGAAACTTTACTATATCATTTTTCATTTTAAGTGTAAAAAAATATTCGCATATTATTTATCCCCATATTTCTCTCTGTTTAACCCATCCCATCATCTCTCTCCCTCTTCTCATCTCTCATCTCTCATCTCTCTCTCTCTCTACTCTCTCTCTCTCTCTCTCTCTCTCTCTCAATTCCTCTCTCTCTCTCTCTCTCTCTCTTCTCTCTTCTCTCACTCCTCCTCTCTCTCTCTCTCTCTCTCTCTCTCTCTCTCTCTATATATATATATAATATATATATATATATATATATAGACCAGTTTTACATATTCGGCACGACATATATATATGTATATATATATATATATATTATTATATATATATGTCGTGCGGAATATGTAAAACTGGTCAATTAGCAAGAACTCATTTAAAATTAAGTCCTTTCTGAAATTTTCTCTTATACGTTTAAAGGTATATTTTTTCATTAATGTTAATGTAAAAATTTATAATTTTGCACTAAAAGAATTTTAGAAAACTTACCTAACCTTATTATAACAAGAACAATTTATATTAGCCTAACCCAACTAAATATATTTTAGATTTGTTTACAGTAATTTAATACGAAACAAACACAGTGAAATATATTTTTTTCGTTAGGTTCAAAATGATTTTGGCGAAATTATTGCATACACAAATTTTCACTTGTCTTATATGGCAAGATGAACGTTGCTATTTAAGCCAAGATCGCAAGTTCTGCCTATTCGGCACGACATATATATATATATATATATATATATATAATATATATATATATATATATATATATATATATATATATATAATATATATATATCGGCAAAAACGCTCTCGCTGAACGTGCTTGCTCGGACTTGATCCTCTTTTCTGCAGGGCTCATGATGTGTTGATTGCAACATGATAGGCCTAGAGCTATCATTCAACTCTCCCTGTGCTTGATTTGCATTATATATATATATTATATATATATATATATATATATATATATATATAATATATATATATATTGTATATTATATATATATATATATTATATATATATATATATTATATATATATATATATATATATATATATGTCACGTGAGGTCACAGACCCTGAGCTGTTTTGGGGCATTAGCGTGGACGGTTACAAAGCATGGCTTGCTTCTGCATTATTTTAAAAATTGAGGTTGGAGAGTTGAAGGAGGAGGTCTTGCTTCTCCAGGAGGAGATTAGGAGGCTGAAGGTCCACCTCAATGGGTCTGGGAGAGAGTGTGAGGTGGCTGGAGTTGTGGGGAATGAGGCTTCTAGCAGTGAGGTGCAGTCTGTCTCTCGCTGTGAGGAGGCTGTAGTTGGGGAGGTAGCAACGGCTACCAGCAGTGAGGTGCAGCCCAGCACCTGCTACAAGTGGCGAGTGGTTCACAGTAATGGGAGGCGCATCAGAGTAAGGAAAGTTAAGAGTGAAGATCTGAAGGTAGGAAATCGCTTCTCTGTTCTTCAGGATGAATGTACTTCAGTGGCCAGTGAAGGTAAGGGTACTACTGCTCCTGCTAATGGAGGTAAGTGCATTCTTGTGGTTGGTGACTCTCGGGTAAGATATATTGACCGTGCTTTTTGTAATAGGAATAAGAAGATGAGAGATAGAGCGTGCTTCCCTGGAGCTGGTGTTGGGGACATTGTCAACAGGCTGGATAATATCATGTCAGGTAATGGGAACAAGCCTATTATCTGTCTCAGTGCTGGTGGAAATGATATTGGGAAGGGTAGGAGAGAAGAGCTGCTAGATAAGTACAGGTCAGCTATAGATTTCATTAAGTCTAAGGGAGGGATCCCAATCATATGTAGCATCTTCCCTAGAAGGGGAGTAGGAAATGAATGGTTGTCTAGGGCAATTGGTTTGTAAATTGCTGGCTAGACAGATACTGCAAGGAACTTGCAATCCATTCATTGACAACTGGAACAACTTTTATGGCAAACATGATATGTATGCAAGGGATGGGGTACATCTCTCTGGGGCTGGGGTGGTAGCACTTGCAGACTCGATTGAGAAGGCCATTGGTGAAATGCCTATGATTTTAAACTGATAGAAGATAGAGGTATGGATGTGTGTGGGAAACAAGCAGGTTGCAAACACTAGGGTTGAAACAGTAAATGTATAAAAGGCATTCAGCATGAAGTTATAAATAAAAACAATAGATCAGGTCAGCAAACAAAGCGGGACAGCAGAGGGCAGCAAGGGACTAGCTCCCTTAAGGTTTACTATACTAATAGCAGGAGTGTAAGAAATAAGATAGATGAGCTAAGATTAATTGCAAGTGCAGGAAACATAGATATTATTGCTATAACAGAGACCTGGCTCAATCTGAAAGATAGAGAGATGCCCTCTGAATGTCACATACAAGGCTTTTAAATTATTCCACATGACAGGGTCAACAGGAAAGGTGGTGGAGTAGCGATGTATGTCAGAGACAATTTAAATTGTTGTGTTAGACAAGATATTAAATTAGAAGCATCAGCCACTGAATCTGTTTGATTACAGCTTCTCGAGGGCCGAGAAAAACTAATTTTGGGTGTGATTTACAGGGCCCCAAATCTTGATAGGGAGTGCAGTAAACTTCTATGGGACGAAATTCGTAAGGCATTACATACGAAAATGTTGTGCTAATGGGAGATTTCAACTATAGACAGATTGACTGGAGCAATTTGACAGAAAATTTAGAGTCAGGTGACTTTCTTGATACGATCCAGGATTGTTTTTTAAAACAGTTTGTGACAGAGCCAACTAGGGGAAATAACCTCCTTGACTTGGTTCTTGCCAGTAGGGAAACACTAATTAATAATCTTGAGGTTAATGATGAGCTTGGGGAAAGTGATCACAAATCACTCAGTTTTAATATATCATGGAATTCCCCTAATAATGGCAATCAAGTCTCTGTCCCTGACTTCCGCTTGGCTGATTTCATAGGACTGAAAAATTACTTAGGTGGGCTGAACTGGAATGACCTGACTAAGGGTCAGGTAGGTGGTGATGGTTGCCGATATGACGTTTTCCAGGGCATAGTTCTAGCTGTTCAGTCAAATTATGTCCCAAATAGGGAAATCAGATCAAACAAAAATGATCCTAAATGGATGAACAATAGATTAAAATATCTAATTGGTCAAAAGAGAGGCATATATAGGCAAATCAAAAGACGAGAGGGGCAATTAAGAAATCGATATATTCAGTTAAAGAGAGAAATAAAAAAAGGAATTAGAAAAGCAAAAAGAGATTATGAGGTTAAAGTTGCAAGAGATTCGAAGACTAACCCAAAAGGATTCTTTCAGGTATACAGAAGTAAGATCAGGGACAAGATAGGCCCACTCAAAAGTTCCTCGGGTCAGCTCATTGACAGTGATAAGGAAATGTGTAGAAGTTTTAACACATACTTCCTCTCAGTTTTTACACAGGAGGATACCAGCGATATTCCAGAAATGATAAATTATGTGGAACAGGACGATAATAAACTGTGCACGATTAGGGTCACAAGTGACATGGTCCTTAGGCAAATAGATAAATTAAAACCTAACAAATCCCCAGGCCCTGATGAACTGTATACAAGGGTTCTAAAGGAATGTAAAGAGGAGCTTAGCAAACCTTTGGCTAATCTTTTCAACATATCACTACAAACTGGCATGGTGCCAGATAAGTGGAAAATGGCAAATGTGATACCTATTTTCAAAGCAGGTGACAGGTCCTTAGCTTCGAACTATAGACCAATAAGCCTAACCTCCATAGTGGGAAAATTTATGGAATCAATAATTGCCGAGGCAGTTCGTAGCCACCTTGAAAAGCATAAATTAATCAACGAATCTCAGCATGGTTGTACAAAGGGGCGTTCCTGCCTTACGAATTTATTAACTTTTTTCACTAAGGTATTTGAGGAGGTAGATCATGGTAATGAATATGATATTGTGTATATGGACTTCAGTAAGGCTTTTGACAGGGTCCCACATCAGAGACTATTGAGGAAAATTAAGGCACATGGAATAGGAGGAGAAATTTTTTCCTGGATAGAGGCATGGTTGACAAATAGGCAGCAGAGAGTTTGCATAAATGGGGAGAAATCAGAGTGGGGAAGCGTCACGAGCGGTGTTCCACAGGGGTCAGTGTTGGGCCCCCTGCTCTTCACAATATACATAAACGACATAGATGAGGGCATAAAGAGCGACATCAGCAAGTTTGCCGATGACACCAAAATAGGCCGTCGAATTCATTCTGACGAGGACATTAGAGCACTCCAGGAAGATTTTGAGTAGACTGATGCAGTGGTCGGAGAGGTGGCAGATGCAGTTTAATATAGACAAATGCAAAGTTCTAAATGTTGGACAGGACAATAACCATGCCACATATAAACTAAATAATGTAGATCTTAATATTACGGATTGCGAAAAAGATTTAGGAGTTCTGGTTATCAGTAATCTGAAACCAAGACAACAGTGCATAAGTGTTTGCAATAAAGCTAATAGAATCCTTGGCTTCATATCAAGAAGCATAAATAATAGGAGTCCTCAGGTTGTTCTTCAACTCTATACATCCATGGTTAGGCCTTATTTAGATTATGCTGCACAGTTTTGGTCACCGTATTACAGAATGGATATAAATTCTCTGGAAAATGTACAAAGGAGGATGACAAAGTTGATCCCATGTATCAGAAACCTTCCCTATGAGGATAGACTGAGGGCCCTGAATCTGCACTCTCTAGAAAGACGTAGAATTAGGGGGGATATGATTGAGGTGTATAAATGGAAGACAGGAATAAATAAAGGGGATGTAAATAGTGTGCTGAAAATATCTAGCCTAGACAGGACTCGCAGCAATGGTTTTAAGTTGGAAAAATTCAGATTCAGGAAGGATATAGGAAAGTACTGGTTTGGTAATAGAGTT